TTTCTTCAGATCTGTCTGGAATAAATGAGTTCAATCCCCTCATTCTCTCAAAAATCTGAAGAAGCTATAATAAAAAATAATAACCCAATGTGGAAGAATATATTTAATTTCTATAAAAATCACTGCCTGATTTTCTTTAGCCACAGCCAAATGTCTTTGAATCTGTTGGTTTATAGACCTATGCTAATCTCATTGTATTAAAAACTGTCTAGAGTCTATGTACTTTATTAAATTCCAGCCCCTCTTGTCTACCTTTCTGTCCAGGTGAGAATTGACACTTTTGAAACTGGAATAACCCAAATGTCTGAGCCAGAATTCCCTTTCTTTCCAAATTACTCACAGGTGTTCCAGACTGCTGGTGAGCTAGTGCTGAGAGACTCTTGGATTTCCTTGTGCAGTTAGTCCCTATACTCCAAGCAGTTGGCTTATGGGTAATGTGGTGTGAAGCTTGCTTTTCCAATTGAAGCTCTTTTCAATTCTAACCATAGTCAGTGGTGATGGAGTGTCATCACCTACAGATTGATTTTTGATCCTCAAATGCCTCAAAGCATTTATCTCAGAATTGTTCCGAGGAGGTGACTGTCAGCATCTCAAAAACCACTACCTGCAGGATGTTTCATCAATCAATATTTGCAATATTTTCCTTAAAATTTTGAAACAAATCCAAGTTCTCCCAAACCCAAAGCCAAGTCCAGATACATGGAAAATGCTAGTGATTTTTCCTCCCATAATTGACTCTGGTACATGCATACTTTGCAGTGATTTACAGTTTCAAGTAAACAATGTATAAAGTGGTTTTGCTGGGTAGCAATCAAAAAGTCAGATGAAAACAAGGGAGCCACAGCTGATTTTTTTTTTCCACTCATAGAATTGTTCAAATCCAGACGATTCTTGAGTATGATTTTGTGGAAAGAAAAAAAGAAAAGTTCAAGTAACCATAAGTACCCAGCATTCGTGAAAATAAGTCAACTGCTATATAAAAGGAAAGTTAGTGAGGAAACTAGCTATGGTTTACACTAAGAAATGTCCTCCTTTAGAAAGATTATTAACCAAACTAAAAATGTATAAACCAGAACAGAACCCAAGTATACAGGAACAGCAGCTAGGAAGAAAATCTTACCTTTAATACATTTATTCATTGTGAAGAAAAGGCAGTTCTGGGCTGCCTCCATGTTCAAATCTCTTTCCTAGTTGGCCTGAAACACATCAAGCATGTGCACAAGGGCTCAAGATCCAACAAGCTAGATGACTGGAAGAAGGGGATCACAGCATGACCAAGCCATGTGGGGGTACTTTTCTCTCTTTCTTTCTCTCTCTCTCTTTCTCTCTCTCTCTCTCTCTCTCTCTCTCACACACACACACACACACACACATGCACACACACACATATGCACATACTCTATTATAAAAAAGGGAAAAAGGAAAATAAAGGCTGTCTGTCACTGGTATTAGTGATCTGTACTAACATCCTATTTGCAAAAGAATAGAAGATATTTTCAGTATGGTATCAAATTTATGACATTCTTAATAAAAAGGGGTTGGTATTTTTTTTTCTCATTTAATCAGAAACACTGCTTAAAGAAGAAATCATAACAATTTACACATAGATTAGGCATTTTATGTTACCTAAAACACATAAAAATAAGTATTCACCCAGCAATCTTTTGTTGATGGTCAAGATATTCTTTCTTTGAGAATATCTCCAATTATTGAAGTTTTAGCTAACATTTCTTGCATAAAATCACAGGTAATGAACCATCCAAGATTCCCAATTCTAATTTATTTAAATAAAAGAAGGAACTTAAGTACTTATAAAGTAATCTCAATGTAAGATCTTCCTAGATATTTTTCTCTAGTTATTTAAAAAACTCTTGACACTTAACTTAATTTTAAAATAATTTATCGAGTCTTTAAAAAAATACAACTCCATTTTATAGAAACAAGTTTGTTCCCTAAGACATGATTTATTAGCTTATTAACATTAAGTAAATTACATAATTAGGATAAGGTACACAACTGACAGACAGATATGGGAACAATGACAACCAACTCTTGATAAATATATAATTCAACTGTTGGGAGCAACTGGTGAGTTTAACTTTCAAGAATGTTCAGCATATGATCATATGCTCATATCTGTTAGCCATTTCCATAATAACGTCTCAATAACAAAGGAACAGAAAATCATTGTCTTATAACAATAAGTATTTACACTTTCCACTCACAAGTTCTGGGTATTTGTGGATTTAGCTGAACTGGGTTCTAGACTGCAGGTTAGAGTAAGATATATTTTGTGTATCTCACTTTGGAACTCAGACTAAATAGGGAGTGGCTATTAGGGACCTATAGCTAGAAGAACAAGAAAATCAAGCAAAACCATGCAAATATATTTCAAATTGTCTCTTATGTTACATTTACTAACATCCTATTAGCCAAAGTAAATTATATGGCTAAGGCCAAAGTTATGGAGAGGGGCTGGTAGGTGGTATGGTAGATAAGGACACTGGACTCCCACATGGCTAACCACAGCTCAAGTCCCGGACCTGGTGGCTTGCTTTCTCACTTTCACTCTACCACTCTATCGCTCTCTCATTCTGCCCCTCTCTAGTCAAATTAAATAGACAAATAAATAAATAAAGTTAAATAAAATAATTCTAAACCACAAAATCATGGAGAAAAGAAGTATACTCCATCAAGCATGCGGCTGCAGACCCAGCTGTGGAGGCACAGAGAGTAGAGTACGGCTGCACAACACTGGAACCATATGAAAAGGGCAGGACAGGACATAGATTGTGGTTTAATCCAAACATGACAGATACTCATGATCCTGGCTAGCCACAAGGCTAGGAGGAGAATCAGGGTATGACAAGGCCCTACTAGGGGTCCCTGTCTCTCTCTTTCTCTCTCAATAAATAAACTTAAAAAAAAAAAAGGGTAGTTCCAGAAATCTATAACAAGGAAAGAATTGAAACCAACAACTCCATATTCTACAATATTTAAAAGGAGAAAAAGCAGAGTGTTTAATACAGGGACTCTATTAAGTGGAAGTCAGGAGAAAATAGGTTAAACTTAGGTCCAAAGGAAGTAACGAGTGCAATAAACTCTATATTTATGTCTTGGCTCATTAATTCACTAATCCATGAAATAAACAAAAATATAACATGTTTTACTATGTGCCAGGTACTATGGAAATACTAAAGAAATGAATGAAGAACCTTTGGGACCTGATGGATTGTCTATCTATGCTGAACAATGAAGAACAGTCCAGAATCAACATGAAAAAGAAAATAATGTGGTTCTCTGACTTTGAACTCCTTTACTAATGCAATGAAGTTTCATTTTTATATATGGTTCTTAATGAAATAATAGTAATAAGATCAGCTAATATGCTTTGATTATTGTTAAGAGCAAATAATTACACCTTGTCTTTTACTCCATCCCTTCAGAATGTCACTCTAGATATATTAAGTGTAAGAAGCAAACAAAGACAATACATCCCCTGACACAAGGACCTTCCTCAAAAAAGGTACCTGGATAGCAACAAATCAATAAATAGGTGGCATTTAACAAAAGGGAAAAAGAAATGTGACAGTAAAAGAATGGGACAATTAGTGTTCTTCTGACAATGATTATATTTTTCTTGTTATCAGCAGACGATTTTTAAGTACATGTGGAGCAGTTACATATGGTAGAGAAAAAAATTACTGTGTCATTCAAGATCTCTCCATTTCAATTTTTTCAAGTGGAGTAAGAACTTGGACACTCAAGAAAGAGACTGACTGAAATTCTAATGCTTACTCAGCCACTAATTAGTGCTGTCACCTTTGACAAATGACCTAACATCCCTAGATGTTGCCTTCCTGTCCCTATTTGCTCTTCCCCTCCCTAGACTGGGGTAAATGGGACCCACTGATCCTCTGTATTTTAATTCTTCCCCTATTATCTTGCCTGTACTATAATTAGTGTCTAGATATTTGGCTCCTGTACTATTAAGCTCTTTGAGATCCGAGTCAGTATCTGATACCTTCTTGTAGAATCAATCTAGAAAAGATTTTTTTGTATGATCAGTTTAAAATACATTTCTACTACAGTGTGCTCTGAAATTGTGTGCAAAATCTGTTAAATTCATTTTAAAGATATCCCAACATTTTCTTGAGAACAAACCTCATCCTCTGTCCCATAAAGCATAATAATTCCTACTACACGACCCAACTAGCATCAATAGAATAGACTGATACTTTATTCTTCCACATTACATTTAAATTCTGATCTGGTTATATGAATTCAAATGTAAATCCCAGGCCTTTCATCTGCCATCTTCTGCTTGTTGACAATTAATAAAAATGCATAACAATGAAAATCTTATTATTTCCTGGACTCTCAATAAATCTCTAATATAACAGTCTTTTCAATAGACCATTGACATGACCTAGAGGAAATGTTTAAATGGTAACGTTAGAAAAGAATTGAAGTTTTAGCTTATCTAAGTTTTTTTTTTTTTTTCTTAGTAGAGAAAACCAAGATCCTGAGAGATAGATTAACTTGTATAAAGTTACCACAAGTCTCAGAAATCATGGACTTGGGACTTACACTAAGTCTAATGTGTAATTCTAAAAAGAGAAAAAAATAATTCCTTAATAGCTTTCTATTTTGCATGCCACACACATGCTGACAACTCTTTACAAATGTTCCTCATTCCAGAATTCTCTATTTTTATTTATGAAGAGCTATACAATGATGGGCAAACCATTTGACCTCTCTAGTTTCAATTCTAATAGAGATGTGGCCTATATGACTTTCAAAATGCCTTCTACATCCACTCTGAGCAATAGAAGGATTAGAGAGGAATTTGGGAATATAAGTTACAAAAACAAGACTTACTGCATATATGTATGTAATTATTATGTGTGTATATATTAATGATGCAGAGGGCTTATCCCTAAAGAGACTCTTTGCTTTCCCTATAATTGGAGGTTTTCATTATGATGTCAGAGCCTTAGGAACAAGATAGACACTCCTGTTGTACTCAAACTTGGCTTGGTGTGTGTGCCAACTACATCTTGCAAAGGGATTATCAAACACTGAAAACTCTTGGGTAAGATAATTTAAATTATACAGGGAGACAGCATCTCAAAGAGAAAAATAAAAGGGAGGGAAAGGCACACTGACAAACACATTAATCTTGTGTAAAATAATCACAAACAAATTAAAAAGCTATTAAATAATAATTTAAGCTACCTATATTTTAAGGCATTTATAAATTTTGTTATTGTTAATTTATTTTTGAAACTCTTTTTTTAGAGAGGTTTTTGCTATAAAGGTGCATGCGCTCGCCAGAAAGACAGAGTGAGAGAGAGAGACAGAAAGTGAGAAATCACCCCCCAGGGGGGATGGCCACGCCGCAATCCCTTCTCCATTCTCCTCTCAGGATCTTGGGCATGCACACACATGTGCTCGGCATGAGTTTAAGCCACCGAGTCCAGGACTCGAACTGCCATCGACTACATGGGATTCCAGTGATATAGCCATTATATCAACTGCTAGTCCCTTCTGAAACTCTTATATTGGCCTTGGTTTATTTTTATTATATGTACATTTGTGAGAATTAGTAATGACATGGGCAATATTACATAACTGGTAACAGTGTAATTTGATGGTTTTATTCTGGTAACATAATAAAAGACTCATAGATGAGTATCTTTGGTCTAGCATTAGGAATTTGTGACAGAGAAAAAGATACATGCCCAATAATGTTCAGTAAAACATGGTACACAACTGGAAATGCTTTAAATGTCCCAAAGCAATAATTTAGCAGAATTAACAACTATGACCCTGGCAGAGGTCTTTCCCTTATTTAATAGTGCATCGTACCATCTGGACAGAAAGAAAGAAAAAATAGTCAAAGTGGAAGGGCACTCTGTCATCATATTCTCCAATCTTCTCATTTGATACATAGGAAACTGATGGCAAAGATATTAAGTGACTCCACACCTAGATCCCTTTATAGTCACCATAGTTTCTCCTTCCATAATGATGTCTCTTAGTCTTCCTTGTCTAGCCCAATACTAATCAGATTTCTTTTTTTTATTCTATCATGGCTGAATTACTCCACAAAATACCTAGCTACTACTGGCAATATTTCTCTTATTAGGTCAGTTCCCCAAAGGAAAATTAACATCACCCAAGTGTTCCAAAAGTCAACCTACTTTTTTGGTTGCTGTTATGTACAAACACAAGATCACATTGCAATGGTTCACTCAGACTGTTTCCCACAGGCCTTTGTAATGCCTAGTAAATCTAGGCTTGGCCTGTGGTTTATAAAAAAAAAAAAGAAAGAAAGAAAGAAAGAAGGGAAAAAAATCCCTGGCTTTTCTCATAAAAACAAGTGAAAGCTTTTCTTAGCTTTGTCTTCTATCTTGACCATGATATAAGCTAAACATGCTTTTGAGTAGATGATATAAAATGCCTGCTTTCTGAAGATCTATTTCACTCCTCAACTCCTGAGCAATCATATTTTTAGGACACTATCTCATAGAAAGTTAAAATAAATATTTTGTATGGCACCCCAAGTCTTTTGCCAAACCCAGTAATCATTTCAGGTAATGGGAAAATAATGGAAGACACTCTGGAACTAAGCCATTAAAAGCTGTCTTTTGAGGCTAACATGTGCAAAGTGGGTTGGCTGGATTCTGCTGCTTTTAGGGCACAGTAATTCAAATGCTTGTTTAAATCTTCTTAACTGCATCAGAATTTAAACTGCATTTGTATGTCTGAAGACCAGAGGCCCTGTTACAAATCTCTTGGAAATCCACTGCTAATTCATTAAGTAAGAAGTAGTAGATTTAGTAACCATAAGAATTCATAATACATGTGAGTATGAGAATATGTACATCTCTCAGAACTCTGAGAGTTCTACAGAAACTTGAAGCCACTTGCAGTTGGCTATCCCCACTTAGGCAAAAATCCTGTCCTTGCTTCAAACAAAGATTCTATTTCCTGAAAGATATCAATGACCAAGCAAGCCCATACATGCATCTAGCCTCCCTGCCTAAATCTGCTCTTCTTCCAGCTATTTTGAAAGCAAGTTGAGCTCTCTGGGGTTGTGTACAGTCTAAGGCATAACCTGAAAACACCTTGATATAAGCCCATCAACAAAAAGTCTTCATGACTACCCTGTTTGCTTCCACCCAAGCACTGCTGTCCATATGGAAAGGTGTTTCATAACCTTTATTGTTATTGCTTCTTCGTAGTATTAAAGTATACAAGCATTTAAAGTGATGATTACTTGGTCATGATAACTCATTTGAAATGCATTGCATAATTAACAGCTTTGAAAGCAAAGAGGTAAATTTTGTCACATATATTATTAAAGCAGAGTGAAGTCCCCCAAGACCAAATTAAACACTTGATTAAAAATATCCATGTTAAAAGAAATAACTAGATAGGGAATTGTACTCGCAGCCATCCCAAATTAGCACACTTATTGAAGAATCTGTTCAAACCATGTGAAAAGACATAATCCATACTTACTTTGGTAAGTGAGAACTCAAAAGTCTTAACTTGAATGCAGGTCAGACAAAATAAACTCTAACAGGGTCATCTGAAGGTAGAGGAAATAGGAACTGGGAAGAGGGACCCTAACAGGCAAGTGATTACAGTGTAATGAAAAAAAGTATTGACTGGGAAGTTATAAACCTAGATTCATTCATTTTTCAACTATTCAATTTTATACTCAAGTACTATGCAACATGCTAAATTTTAGGCTGCTGGTTTTCTCTCTTCCATTTCAGATGTTGGCTAAGATTACCACTACCTCCAGACCTCTGCTTCCACTTATATAAATAGGGGTGGGGTGCTGGGAAGAAATGGTTAAGAGAATGTTTATGACTTTAGAAGAAGAACCAGGAGTTAAAACTCCAAGCTTTGTCACAGTATTTTATTGTAAGATACAGTATATTTTAATTTAACTACATTGCAATTGATTTTAGAAAGATTTTTTTAAAACTCTAATTCCCTACTAAAATTCTGGAAGTATTTGCAATTGTCTTTGAGAAGAGCTACAGAGCCATGGACAGCCAGCCAAACCACAGCAAAACAAACAAGACTGTCACTTTGGAGAAGGAAAAAATCCTAAAATTCCTATGCCCATGAGATATGAGGACTGCAAAGCACTCTCTTAACTTGGTGATTGTGGCAGGCAGGTGAGAATTTAACGAGCTTGGCAAAGTAGCTATGTGGCACTCTGCCTAGACGCAGCCCTGTGTATCCTGTGTCCAGAGAGGGGTCTTTGTTGAAACAGGCCTGCCTCTCTGAAGTTACTTATACTCTTTCTGGTTTTCTCCTGAAACAGAAAAGATCTACCCCATGTGAATGCAGCTACCAAACTTACACACAATCTAAGGTTCGATTAAAAGATTTTTTCAAAAAAACTAAGAAAGAAAAAGCATGAGCACAGTAATGCCCAAACTCTCCTTTCACAATCACACTGACTGTGATCAAGTTAAAATTATTATAGGAATCATAATTTGGAATTTCCTGCTCCATTTAAATTCTCCAGGGTTAAACTGCCATAAAAGATCTTTCTTATATTGAAATTCCATTTTTCCAGAAGGTAAAGAACAATCTACTTTTACATCCAAAATAAATCAAATTGAAGAGAAGAATTAGAAGGTGACCTTGGATATGTCATTTCACCTTTCTGAATGTCATCAATGAAATGAAGGTTTTGGGATCTCTTAGTCCCTTGCCAGCACTAACACTGCAGTTGTCCAGGTGCTACCCCATAACAGAGGGCTGCACAAAATCACACAGGAGGAAGATGGAATATTAGAGCAATAAGGAAAGGCAGTTAGAAGCACACATCTCAGACCTCCTTCAAAATGTTAGCTAATAGGTTTGTCCCCCCGGCTTACTGCCTTTTAATAAGCTGTCAACACCTTATACTGTTTCTCCCACAGTATTTTAAAAATAAATAAAATAAAAACTGTTTTTAAATGATCCAAACTCTAAAATATGACTTGAAACTAAGAAGGTTAAAAACTGCTAGTGAATAAAAGGTGAGAATTACCATTTACTGAAGAATGTGCTCTCCATGGTTATTCTGTTAATACATCATACTCAAAGCCATTTTTCCTATATTTCTTATTTCAAGATATGGCACATGCCCAAGCTTTATACTTACATGGCTACTACCTATGTTTTGCAGAATTTTTAATTAGTGAGTAAAGCCCTACAACATAAGGCAAGGTTCTGATGACACCGAATATTTAAGTAAAAGCCTTCTTCAAAGACAAGGAAGAGCATCCAGTCTATTTTTCTTCTACTTATTGGTTGCAATTTAATTGGTATATATATTTTTTTCTCATTCTTAAAAACACCTTTTGTCCATGTAATTAAACTCCAACTACAACATAGAAGGAAGTTGAAAGAGGAGAAAGAGAAGGCATGAGAGAGAACAGGAGGAAGAAGGGTGAGGAGGAAAGGAGGTGTGGGGAGAGGTGGGAGGAGACGATAAAGATTAAGACTTAAGAGTAAGGCTGTGGGAGTGAAGAGGAATAAGAAATCGAGGAACCCAGTTTTGTACTAATTAGCTTTGTGCTTGATCTTGAACTTCATTATAGCTCTCTGAACCTAGATGCTTCATCTATAAGAATAATATGGCTGGATTATTAAGCACTAATGGTGTTTACCATCCCCTTCAATTCAAACATGTTATGGCTGTACATAACTAGAAAATAGTTAAACATCAAACCCTTACATGGGAATATAGAATAATTTAAAGTCTCAATCTGTAATCTTTTTAAGATCAAGGAAAGGTTTAGTAGATTTGTAAGTGACGAGTAGGAGTGACTGGTTACCTGCTTGTTTCTAATTTGTCAGCTCAACAGAACACATTACACATTTCACCTTTAGCACCTCATCTGAATTCCGAATTTCCAAAATGCCAGGAAGATCATCAAAGTTGTCTTATTCTTTCCTCTAGGGACCCAGAAACAATTATTCAAATGTTTTCCAGTTACACTCAACTGAAAGCAGCTCTGGAAGAGTTGAGGGAGTTAGTTTAAAGCTTTTGTCAGTGATCCTCCATGGAGGGGT